AAGGAGACCCTCCCAGGCCCCAGCATCACACCCAGGTCCTGGCTTCAGTCTGATCCCAGACAGGACGAACGACTCACCCCTGCACTCCGGGGCAGGTCCGCTCCATGTCAGGTTGACCCCATCGTCGGAGGTGCAGTAGATGGACTCGTCCCCGATGAGGGACAGACCCTCTGCACAGCTGTACTTTACTTCAAAGCCGTAGGGGAACTGCTGCCTTCCCAAGCCAGAGTGCTGCCCACTGCTGATCTTGGGAGGGGGACCACAAACTGCAAGAGAATAGATAAAAGAATAATTAAGATTTTTCTCTATTTGGTGAGGGAGACAGAGAAGTGCAGGGAAGTAACAGGAGAAGTCTGTTCTTGATGTTTATATCTGGGGTTGCTTTCCTCAAAATCATCTTTGCTTCTTGCCAGCTTTGGCCTTGGCTCTACCAGTGTTCCCAGTTTGACCCAACTAACCATCCACCAGCATAGCACAGCCCCAGCACCATGGCGTGTCTCCATCCCCTCCCCTTCAGCTGACCTTCCCACATCCCCTCCTCTTTTCCATGAGAAATAATCCTGCTCATAAACGGGGGCAGGGAACGGTGAGTATCATAAACCCCCTTGAACAGTCCTGTGAGGAAATGGCTGCAGGTCCCATGACTCGACGCATTTTATTGAGTAGTTTGGATTGAAGATGAAAACCTTAAAGTCATTTAATGCTGTGACTTGGACTCCTTCTCCTAACACCACCTTCTCTGAGCAGAGCTGCTCAGAACACACAATTTTCTCATTGCTCTTCCTACCTGCCGTGGAGATACAATTCCCACCGTTCACACTCACCCTTGTCGCAGTACGGCACGGGGGGTCTCCACGTCCCATCAGACCAGCACTGGATCCTCTGGCTGCCCCTCAGCACATAACCAGGGTCACACTGAAGTTCCACCTGGTACCCAGAGGTGTATTCAGCTTTCCTGGGGGTGACCTCTCTCCCGTGGTGGACAGCCGGGCTGGGACACTGCACCTCTGAGGAACATCAACATCAGAAAGAGCTTCCATGGTTTGGGTTGGGAGAGGAGAGCAGGAGACATTCACAATCCCATGGTGGTGGCTTCCTGACCCAGGCAGCTTGTTAGCACTGACAGACATCTCTAACCATGCTCAGGGAGGGGAATGAGGTGATGACAACCATTTCTCTTGGAAGGCAGAATGATCTGAGCCCTTTGATTAGCTCTAAATGGTGCTGAAGCGATGATTTGTTAGTAGCTCCATCATTGTTTGAACAGCTAAGTGATCAAGGTGAGTGGCAGCTATTTCTTTTCAGCCACGCTACCCTTTGAACAGCAAAATTTAATTATTAGAGAGAGCCAAAGCACTGCTCAGTAAGGTCCTGGCACGGCACCGCT